GTCTTTTACTATAAGTATACCAATAATAGTTAGTTATATTTTTGTTTGTAAATTCTAATAAAAGGAATACAGAAGAAATAACTAATAGGTATTAATTATTATTTGTTTAATAGTTTTTTATGGTTTGACATATATGAAAGACACTTTTGAATTCAAACGATAAAGCCGTAGATCGTACGATCGTCAGTGTAGAGGTTAAAAATTTCGTTTTTCTCGTAGTAATTCTACACAGCATTGCCAATGTCTTGTATTCGCTTTAGACATAATTTTTGTATGAAAATAATATCATATTACATTCATCAGTGTGTGTATTATATATTTTTAATCAGTGGAAATAAATACCTCACCAATGTGTACAAAAACATAGGCCGGTTTAGGATGTTTACGATGCTATAAAGAGCAAAGGTTCTTAAACGTTGTTTGATGTACCACTCGTGTGTACGGCGCATGACCGCTGTTGCAGCTGCCTGGCGTGAATACCTAGGGTTCTGATCTTTGTGTGTATATTGTAGTCTTTCACTTCACATGCGCACTAGAATTTTTCGATTTTTCGATTTTGAATAATTGTTATTATATCTGTATACTATGTTAGTACTGTGACCTTTCACGAGACCCGCGCCGACCTAATCGCCCGCCTGCCCGCCCGCCAGCCTACCCGCCAGCCTACCCGTCAGTCCGCACGCCTACCCACCCATGCCATGTCCGGATGCTCCTTCCATATTAGTATACAGACACGCGTACCACTTACGATTAAAAATTGAACCGTTCAAAATATCAATACATACTATAATGTAATATAATACCCATCTTACAACAATAATGATGTACAAAAAAAGTAATTTACATATTTTAACAATTAACAGTATTATTAACAATATTACAAAATGTAAAATATTATTAAATACTCTTCTAACATATTTAGGAAAAAAATATTAATTTTTCTCTTTTCCGTACTTATACCACACCATGGCCTTCAACGTAAAAAAAGTAAATTATAGGTACTATTGATTATAAATAGAATTCAGAAGCTCCAAGCTTTTTTTCCGGAGGTGCCCTTTTTTTAAACCAAATTCAGCCACAGTGCCCTACTGTAAATACCACGAGAAACATAGATATTGAATCAACACTAATTTGTTCTCATTGATAATTAATTTTTTTAATTTTTAAGAAAATAAGAATACTATACAGCATTATACTAATTAACATTATATTAATTATTTAAAACGTGAATATTGTTACATTGTAACCAATGAGATGTAAATGGCTGCTAATATTTGATAAGTTTGGAAATGTCAGGTTTTATTATTGAAAATTAAGTTAGAGGTCAGGCTCTGCGTATTGAGATGGTTGCCTTATTTGGTTTTAGTTGCAGTGAAAATACTAAATAGTAACTCGCATTTTTATGAGATTCAATTTGAAATTATTAAAAAAAATTCAAAAAAAAATTATTTCAATAAGTATTGTAAATAACTTCTTAGGAGACGGTCCTGGGAAAGTGCTAGTGGCACCCTCACACCGTGTCCTAGCTGATTTGGAATGCGGCAAAAAACAAAATTATTACAAATTACGACGGTACGAGTAGCTTGTATTTTGCCACATGCGCGCAACGCACACATACTCGGCCGAACCATCTGGAACCGCGGTGAACAGTTTGGAAACCACTGCAGTATGGATTATTGTTCTCCGGTGGTGTTTTCGGCGTCACGTTAACAACCGGGGGACGCCACAAGGCGCTGCGCATGCGTAGATAATGTTGGATAATATCGTTATAGCATGTAGAGCGTAGGCTATAGCAGCCGCCTTTGCTGGCGGCGGCGGCGGTGGCGGCGGTGGTGGTGGCGGTGGCGGCCTCGACCGAGTGCTCACGTAGTATTGATAATTATAACTAAATAAACATAATAATATTATAGTTGCTACTTGCTACTTGCAACTTGCAAATAGATATAATTATATACGAATAAACAAATAGGAGCATGATATTTTTACTTTTAAATAACACATAGATAGATGAATGCGCATTTAGTACTTTTTTTAAAGCGTTATGTTTTGAGCAATACGGGCTGGGCTATTGTTATAATTGTACAAAACAGGAAAAACAGCACGCGTTTGCAAATTTACAGTTTTTAAGAAACTTGAAATTAGGTAATTTTCAAATTGTGTGCATGCTGGTCTTGTAAATGTGTGCGTAGTAAATGATCATTAGTGTGTGTGACTATGTGTAAAGGAAATATCGGGAACTCATGCACAAACAAGTCACCGCCTCGGCGTTGCATGCGTGAACTATAAACGATTTAATTTGTTCGTTTGTATATTATATTCTACCGATGGACCTGTTAATACGGTAAGACTTCCAAAAACTGATTTTAATTTATAAATATGTCTACTTAACATTTGAGGCCACATTTTAGGTTGTTTAATTTGAATTTCAAATTATCAAGGTTTATAAAATTTCATAAATTTCAAGCATTTATACAACATTTATAGGAGATTATGAACAACATTTTAAAAATGTGGCCTTATTGCCTAAACCATCTAGAGTAGACATATTTTAACGAATTCTAATCAGTTTTCGGAAGTCTTATCGTGTTGTCAGGTCAATCATTCGGTATGATTTATTGAAATATTGGTACATATTGGACATTGGTTGAAGTCATTGTCCATTTGCAATCTGCTTAAGTCAGTATTACAATATTGTTCGAGATCGGTTGTTTAAGTTCAACCTACTTAGTTAATCGACAATAAATCGGTTAACATTAAATGACAGTATTTAACCTATGTAGAATGCTTTAAACGATTCTGTACCACTAAGTACTATAGTGGTATCTATCTGCTTATTTCAATGTTTTCCTGACAATAGTCTTATACATATGTTATAGTATTTTTGACATCTTAACTTGTGATATCATGAAATTATTTACAAAAATGTACAAAAAGATTAGATTAAGATAATTTATTATATTATAATAATTATAGTAGTTCAGTAATAGATATTAAATAATAATGCGATCCAGATGATGATAAAATATACAACCGTTAAATGACACAATTATACGAGTATATGAAATAGCTATGTGGTTTTATTATTTTTATATTCGAATTGTCTTTTCTAAATTATTATTTCGAGGTAGAACACCACGGGGACATCCACATTTGAGGTGATGAAAATACGGTTTCATTCGTATGGACTACGGATAAATACTTGAAATAATATTATTATAATTTATTATTATACTGTATAATGAAATGTTTTCGACGAATAAAATCTCAAGGTTGTTTACTTTCTTTCAAATGCGTCGCGGCGGTCAAGGCATCGACGCATCGTACCAGTCGTCGTCTCCCACAAACAGAGAGAGTAAAAACTAGTTTGTAACAACAACAAAAGTACGTGCCGTATAACGATTATGGCATACCGGTTTAGTCGTCGCTACTACACATTATGAAAGTGATCTCGTACGACCTATATATATAATATTTCTCGGTGCAATATTTTTTGGAAAACGAAAGGAATAAAAATACTCGCTATAATATTTGTGTGACTGTATATGAGGTGTTGTCCAAAAGAATATCATTACGACGATTGTCGTGACTCTCGGCGGCTTGATAAAATACCATTTTAACTGCGTCATAGAATATAGCTGGTGGGAGGAGTAATTTCAGATCGCTATGTATTATAAATTGTGACTTCCCGTAATTATTGTACGACGATGACACTGAAAAGAAAGGTAACCATTAGGTTAATATTGATAATGTTATTCCGCGTTCGGCCGTCCCACCGCGCCCCGCCGTCGTCATCGCCGACGAAGGAGAGTTTTCCGCACGCGCGTCAAGTAGCCTTGGACTCTTAACCGCGGCGGCGGCGGCGTCGCGGTGACAGTGTGTCCACACTCCACACAGCGTCGGCCCGTCACCCTTCCGCTTGCCATCACAATTACTGCTATGTCTGAAATATCGACGTTTCATCGCTTATCGGTATAATTGTCATTCTTTACTTCTTTAGTTACATTCATATATTATACTTATCTATGGTTACATTGTTATTGTGTATACCTATCGTTACAAGTACGTTATATTTCCATTTTTTATGATAGTATTTTTTTTTTGTAGCTTTTTGGGTACATATTTTTGTGGGTAGAATGTCTCTGAGCGTGTTTAAATGAAAATCTAAAACCTTTTAGCGCTTAGAGGTTTCAGCATTGGGGGGGAGGGGTGGCAGCGGTCGCAGTGGTAGCAGTTGCGCACCTCAGAAAACGTAAGGACCAAACGTGTCATTTCACCTTCCTCCCGCAAAAATAAAACGTAAATTTAATTAAATGAACAACAAAAACGAATGTTTAAATTAAATTTGAAACTATATCGACTATTGTAATATCGTCTTGAATAAACACATGAAATATTCAAATGTATGGAAATAAAGTAATTGTACTGTCTTGTACGCACTTTATATCTAGTAAGTAGTAACGTAATAACTATTTAACTACTTTATTATAAACATATGATAAGTATAAATGTATGCACTTGGTATAAACCAGTGCTTCTCAAAATGTGGTACGCGTACAACTGGAGGTAAGCTGTAGGCTACATAGCGGTGTGAGAAAATCCTAACCATAAGTATATTGAACACTGATTAATTACCACTTTTTTAATGAGCAACAATGTTTAGGCAAACGAAAAAGCCATAAATGTAACAAGAGTGGAAGTTTTTATAATTTTATAACTCAGATATGACCCACACGTATTTTTTAAAATTGTATAATTCACCTTACTAATTATCTACTGAATCAATTAATATCTAATAAATTGGAAAAATTAGACAAATTGAACAGATGATCTTTTTGCAAAAATCATCAAAATCGTAAGGTTAGAAATTAAGTTATTAAAGGAAAAGTGCAAACTTTTTAATCAGAAATTATAATGAAATCTGGAATCACGGGTTGTCGTATTGACCGGTTCCCCTACTCCATTTCGGGTTCGCATTACAAAATTATTACTATCTCACATTTACGTATTTATTATTCGTTTCATTTCGTTATCGACTATCGCTTATTAAATTAAATTGTATTTTATAAACTATAATATATAAATTAGTGTATTGTGTACTAGACAGTGTATTATTACTTATTACCGTGTTCGAAATAACAAAATATGCCAACATTGCCAACTAAAGTTTACAAACAAAGAATGAAAAATAGAAAAAAGTACCAACTGAATCAAAAATATAAAATCCCCAAAAAGACCGTAAGTAAATAAATGCTAAGTAAATTGAATTTAAGTAGTTAAGAAAAAAAAAATCAAATCTTTAGTTTCGATGTAATTTGACCTCAGTAGTAAGAAAGACATATGGCCTCGTAGCGGTAAAGACGTTTCTATAGTAATATTAGGAAGGAAAAATTAGAACAAAAATTATTGGTGTAAAAAATTGGTGATATCACTACAAAAACAATTCATCGAATTATGTGTAAAAAAACGTCTAAGTAAAAAAAAAACAGATCTTTATGCACTATAAAGATGTGACATCATAAATAAATTCTAAGTTAATTGAATTAAATTACACTTATTTTGTTTCAATTTATGTATTTGCTGGGAAATTATTTTGAGTAGAAATGTCTATTAAAATATTTTAAATTATAATGAACTTTTAATGCCTTTTGTTTATTTTATTCGCGTTATTTCGTGTGCCGCGGTATATAATTTTTCGCCAAGTAAATAAATTATTGAAACAAAATAAGTATATTTTACTTGGCATTTATTTATGATATCACATATTTATAGTTATTAAATTATTTTAATTTAATTTTTTAATTTTATATTTATTTTATATATATTTATTATTAGATCTGTTTTTTTTTTACTCAGTCGTTTTTTACATGTAGTTCGATGAAGTATTTTTATTGTGGTACAAACATTATAAACTAAGAATGGATCTGTAGTTGTGTAAACTGTCCAGGGCTCTAGAGTGCTATTGACCTTAGGGCCCCCCCCCCCAGTCGATACTAGACATATTATAGCCTATATTTTGTATTGCAACAAGCATTCGTAATTTTGTTTTTCATTATCCCATCAATAGAATTTTACATTAGAGTAACAAACATCTATTTGATTTTGATTTTTCTATGATAATGGTTGTGACTTGAATGTTTTTTAAAACTTATTTTACCCATATATTTATACAGTACTCTCTGCCCTCACGGGTGTTACTATATTTATAAATAAATAAATTTACCATTAAAGCGAATGTACTATATTATGACAGCCGAAAATTGAATATAATGTTCTACATAAGTTTTTCCTACATAGGAAAATACTTTGAAAATGAGTAATATGTTTAATATGTCAAAATATTCAGTTTTTTTTTTAAATGTACAGGTTGAGTAACAACCAAACATTAATTGGTGCTATAATATATTTATGAATTATAATTATAATACCAAACGGTACTTAAATTAAGTAACATTTTTAATATTATTGGTCATGACTTCTTAACCGACCGTATACATTTTCCGCGTTCTACAATCTAGATTTTTAACCGCCCGTATACAAAGTAACCTAGAACCAATTATATGCGACTATTTCTGATGAGTAATGACTGACGGCTAATGTGTTTGTTTTATGGGAAAATTATTTATAAAAAAAATTCCACTTTTTAACACACGATTAAAAAAATATATGTTTATAATAGTTGTATACTATATTGAATGATAAAAAGTATACTTATAAGTACGGTTTGGAAGTTGTCGCATTTGCATGTTTTTTGTAACTGAGATGTATTGCTTAATAGTTAATGAGCTAGAAATTAGTTTCAAACACTGACACTACAAAAAAATATCAAAAGTTTATAGATTAAAAATTGTTTGGTTAACAGTTGTGTTTAACACAAAGATTTAAATTTAAAATAATAAAACAAAGTAGTAATTCTTTATTATATATTTATCAATAAAAATTGTTAACTGCAGTGTGTTTACAAAATCTTTTTAAAAAAACGTGAGTGTTCTGTAAAAGTATTTTCAATAACACTTCATAACTTAATATTATTGAATTGTAACAGGAGTGACGTAAAAGTCTAGTTTAATATTATTTAAAATTGATGTTTAACTACTAACAAATTATTTGTGTTTAATATTATAATTAATAGTTTATAAAAAATAATAGTTCATATAATCTCTGTTTTCGGTGTAATTATAAAAAAAAAACTATGATATAAACTTAAAATATTAATTAAAGAGAAGAGATGGAATAAAGAAAGCTGTTACTGATTATCTATAACTAATAAATAATTAATGTTTAGTTATAGTTTGAACAGTATTTATGGGTAAGATATCATTTCGATTAAAATATTGGACTTGGCTTTCTAGATAAGCGATTCTTCGTATATAATTATTAAACACGAAATCGTTTTTAACGTCATATTTGATCGTCAAAATGTGTTACAGAATAGATTTATTTTATGTATGTCTTTGAAATCAAAATTATCATAATATATAAAACAAAAAAACATTATACATTATTATTATTATAATTCAATATCAACGTTTTTAAATTTTACGATGTATCATAAGTTTGTAGTTTTTAACTTATGAGTATAAAATATTATTATAATATACATTATACATTTAGGCAGGGCTGAAGCGAGATTGGGTGAAAGGTGCATATGCGCCTATAGGCGCAATTCCTGGGAAGACGTAAAAATAAGAAATTTGCATTTTGCGTTTTTAAAATTACAACGGTTAATGTTGTATAATATATTTATAAAAACTTCAACCTTCTTTATATTAATTGATGTAGTTGTTGAAAATAATAACTAATAATCATAATATTTTTATATAAAAGTATAAAACCTATATAGTTGGTACTTACTTTTATAGGTGGTTGAAATTCCCAGTATTTTTCAAAATAATTGGAAAACCATAAAAAATTATGGAAAATGAGAACTATTTGATAGATGCTGTAGATTTTGACAAAATTGAAATTGTTCAATTGTTGTAATATTTAACTATTAATTAGTTAAATTATTAACCTAGTTATGAAACTAACTTGTATGAGTATAACAGTTGACATTTTACAAAATATTTATATAAATAGTAGCTACCAGACATTAAATGTAAATATGTATAGGTAATATAATATTAAAATCGTTGTATTTTTTATATGTTCTTAGAGCTTACAAGACAATCTTCTAAAAATGTCTTCCTCCAATCAAGATCAGTTGGACTTAAATGCGGAACATACAGGTGGAGTTCTGGATCAAGTCGAAACTACGAATCTGCCAAGAATATGTAGGGTGTGGAGCTTGGCACAACCTGAGGAGAAGTTAAATCAAAATCAAGTGAAGGAAAGGAAAGCCGATACGCCACCACCCACGACTTATATAGACTTAACAGAGGATGACTGAATACGAAGATAATATTCAATATCAATAATCAATATTTGTACGTTCTTTAAAAACACATTTTTTTGTTTGTAAAAGTATGAAATTGATAATAAATAAAATTAAATAGTTATTATAATATTGTATTTGTATCTTATAATTTTAGACCTTTATGTTATATTTGGTCAAAATCACCAAACTGGCTGTATTAAAAATAATATACTAGTGTATTATTGTTTACATTGCATTAGGAGTCATTGAACAAAGTTTAAGATAGTGTTAACATTTTCGGGAGCTACAGTGCCCTCAGCCCTTCCTCCCCCTCGCCTATGTAGTCACAGGCTACTTTTTACTTTTCAATACCTAAAATATTAATGTTGAATACAGTTGATTCAAGAAAAATTAAAATATCTAATAATTGTAAAATTTGTATGCAAAAGTAGAAAACTAATAATACTTTATAAATACAACTATCTATGGTAATATACAGCCATGCAGGGAGTCCTTGCACTTCAGGAATAATTCGTTTATAGTTTTATATATGTGTCCGTAGTCAATACCACATTACTATAATATGTTCAAATTTAACAAAAATTATAATATATATGATACGGTCTCGCAGTCTTGAAGTGATTTTGCTACCTATGTACTGCATAGGAATAAATATAAACATTTATGTAATAAACATGTATTTATAATTTATGCGTATGTAATATTCATATTATTTTTATCCGGCCGAAACGTCGATAATGATGGTGCGACGATTTGAATAGGAAATATGTTAATGTTTTTTATTATTAGTTACTATATTTTAAAAGATAACTTACCTATAATTTATATTTTTAAATAATATCTTAAATGGAAATTTTTTTTATTAGTGTGGCCATTTAGATAGATGAGTGGAGTACAGTATATAGGTTATTTCGCGTATTTAATATGTACCAATTTAATATTTTTTAAGTCCATCGTAACGTTATTATATCGTAACGTTAGGGACATGGGTTAATTTTATTATTTTACACAAAAATTATTCATTTTAGTTTCTGGAAATGTATAGATTTGTTTTTTTATGGATCTAATCACTTTTTGGTTAGTAGTAATGGTCCAAAAATTACGTCGAGCTACTGCATTGAACAGAATTATCATCTTGTTGTTACTCTAAATAGTTCATTTTTCTCTAAGCTTAATATTTTTTACAAGTGTATGAAAAAGCTTGATATTCAGTCATATACATCAAATTTGCATTATTATAATAATTTACATTTTTAAAAAATTGATTGTATTTTGTACCCAATTTCTCCAAGTTTTTGGAAGCAAAATTTAGTTGTTACGGCACTGAATTTAGGGCGTGACTGCTTGTGAGTTAATAGATTTATTGATAAGTAATAACTTATTACTTCCTAATAAGCTATAAATTAGTTTCAAGACATAGCGAAACAAATTTTAAAGGTTTATAAGTATAGTGCAAAATTTTTAATATTTCTGGTATTTATTTAGTTTTAAAGGCATATTATTTTTTCTTAATTTCACAATTTTTAGTGCATATTTGAATAGTTAAAGAAAATACAATATAAAAATTCAAAATCAAAATAATATATTCATTTTGGGAGATATCAGTCTTCACTTCATGTTGTATGATGGTGTCTTACGTCGGTGTTGTACGATGGAGAACGTTCTACCTTTTTAGCAACACGATTGAGAACGATGTCGGCAGATCAAAAAAACAATATTTTGTACCTTAAAATCAAACGATTGAGAACGATATTTCTATCGACGTTGCCTTTTATCTTAACTTTTAGTAATAATTTTTAGGGCTGGGATTTTGATGCAAAGGCATCTGTTTTTGGTGTTTTGAAAAGTTGTTTTGTAAGTATAAAATGTGTTATCTGATTTTTTTTTTTTAAAATGCATTTTTTGGGCATTTTTCATAATTTTTTTATAAAATGTACAATTCATGCGATTAACAAGAGACATTTGGCACACTGTCGACGGTTAATATTAAATTATCATTGCTAGGCTTTTATCCTCAAACTATTGCCGTTGTAGATACCTATATACCATACATATATATATATAGGTAAAAGTTATCGTCGATAACAACAGCTAGGTCTCATATACTGAATTAGTAACCAATTAGTACGTCCAGAACTAAACATTCTGTAACCAAAATATAGTGATTTATATCTTATATATATTGTATATTGTATTTTTATTATTTTTATTTTTAATTAATTTGGCAACGTTGCATAAAAGTTAGCAGGTAAGGACGTTCTTAATCGTGCTATTAAAAAGGTACGGCCGATAAGGACCGTTCTCAATCGTGTTCTACCCGTCTTACGAATACCTATAGATCATTGATGACCTCAAACTCAAATTATCTACTGGCCACACATTTTTTCAAAAAACGTTCGTGGGCCAAATTTAATTATCCTCTATTTTACTTATACATTAAAAACTGAAGACAAAATGAAGGCAAAGATACATGCAAAATCCATTTATCTAAATGACTTAATGTATTATGAAATTATTTTTATTATAATTACTATTACAAAAATTATTCATAAAAATATAAATAAATTAGTTGTTTATTTTACTTATAATTACTAAAAATTATCATTGAAAAAGATTGATGAATATTAACTTTAAACAAATTAGGATTAAAATTTAACTTTTTTACAATTTTTTTGGTATATTTTCGTTCAAAATGTATTTTTATTGCTTGCAACATGTGGCCCACGGGCCGTACGTTTGAGATCACTGACCTATATATGGTATAAAAACAACAATTACATTTATATACATATTACGGTTCATCTCAAATTGGTAACTAAAAACATACATATTAATATCTGCTGATGTATAATTTAATAATACATTAGAATAACAAGAAGACATTTTTTAAAGTTATTTAGAAATTATGTTTTAAAAATATACAAATACATAATATACAGGTTATTTATTTTATCATTTATGTTATACTTATTAAGAGTGTGTATCTATAAAGGCACATCGTATTAATTGAAGTATTGAACTTTCTTAAGAATATTAACTCTAGGCTTTGCTGTTTATAATTTTATCTACTATTCGCACTGAAGCGAAACAAAATTAAAAGTTCATAATTTTTACTTTTTAATTTCATAAATTAATGCATACTTAGTACTTTTCAAGAGCGAGTCTAGAGCCCTATACCTACTTATTAAGCTAAATCTATTTTCAAATTTCAAGTGATTATATTTTATATAGTAAATGTTTTATTCCGTGGTGCCGAACTCTAAAATTATCATTCAACTACCCACCCACAGCAACTTCCCAGTCATCTAAATTTAAGAAGTGAAGTGATCGCATCACAACATATAGGAATTTAGTGCCATTGATTTTATTATCGTTTAACGATCACATTATTAAGTTTAGTAGGTACATCAAAATGTTGACATTTATACATTTTGATGTACATATAATCCTTATACTACTTGTGAGAAGAAGACAATAGTTAAATGACTAGCAGTCTTTTAAAAGATACTTTTTAAAAATAGGTACTTAACAGATACAGATACTTATTTTGAAAACTATTTTAAGTCTGTAGCTATTTGAGTAGATACACGTACTCAATAAAAAACATATTTGAATATTTATTTAAATACTTCAAAAAAAGTATTTATAGGTACATTCAAATATAAATGTATATAATTATTCGTTTTCTATGATAGGTAATTTAGAATAAGTTTTTGATTGACATATTAATTCTTGTCTCTATTGTAAGAGGAACTTGGAAAGAGTTAATTTATTCATCAAGAGTAATGAAGTAGTTTACAAAATATGCAAATTTCATGCTCTAATAACAAAATATGCTTAAACCCTTAAACCTTAAAATATTCATCAATATGGAAAATTAAATTTCGTCCATGAAATCAGATTCATTTCAAACACCCTAATTTCAAACCCAGCTCGTGCATATACTAGTATGAATATTTAAATGCATTTAATTTAGTGGCATATTATGGAGGCCCAACAGTGGATAAACTTGACTTTGTCATTATAGTTAAAAATAATTTGAAATGTTCCTCTCGCGCTCTATGTGATATGACACATTTTCCCATTAGGCTATGGTGGGCTCCCAATATTGAAAAATATCTTATAGGGCCGAACTACACTGAACACAGTATTTAAAATACTTAATAAATACCTACTTAATTTTTAAACTTTCAATATCAAATACATTACAAGACTGAAGTATTGGGTGTCTCTACTTAATATTCATATTATCATATCAGTGGAGTGCTCGGGAATCTTTAATTGGGGGAGTTAATTTCCTACACGAGACCTAGCAGCTAAAAAAGTACATATTATGTTAATTCCTACATGTTAGAAAAAAAAGGTACACAGGTTTGTAGATTCCTACGTGGCAAAAAATATATTATTATATATGATTATATTTCATTTTTATACATTTTATAATTCAATATAATAAAATTCCATATTTTATGTATTCAATATTAATAGTTAAATCTAAATATTTATAAAACGTATGAAAATGAAATACAATTATATAGGTATAATAAATTATAATACATATTAATTATACAATGTTTTAAATTTTTTTGCAATTCCATAATTTATAAATATTTGAATGAGTTTGTTCCTTACTTTGATTAGTCAGAATTTGATATTATTAACGAATGGATCTTCGCAGGAAATAATTTTTCGGATCGTATATAAAATTGCCTATATTGGCCCTTTTTCTGTAATTATTTGTATTATAATACGGTACAAAATCGGTATATTGAATTCTGGTACCTTGAATTTTCTGTAGGTCAAACTTTTTTTTGGTCCCTTAAGTTTTCGAGATACCGAGATAAAATTATAAGACTACAGGAGTAAATAGTACTATTTATAAGTACCTACATTATATTTAATATATATAATAATATTATGATCGGCATTTGTCATTTAATATGCACAATTCATAGGAAAAATAATAAGACATTAATACATTATTTTTCAATAATAATATAATCTAAAATGAAATA